CCTAACATTTAAGTCAACAAATACATATCAAAACACCTAATATTTAAATAAATAAAAACACATCATTAAATAGGTATTTCAAATAAACACATAATCAATTAAATCATATAAACAATTAACAATTAGCCAAGAAATCAATTAAAACATCCAAAAACATGATTAAAATAATTAATAAAAATACTAACAATACCGAGACTATCCTTTTAAAATTAGGGGTATTACATCTGCTTCCTTGATTAGTGATGGCTCAAAGTAGTGTAATTTTTTTATGCATTCTTAAAGTAAAACATTTTAGAAATTGCTTGTTTCCTTACAAAAACATTAAATCGTGTCCAGATTAATAGTAACCAATGTATTATTAATGTAGTAAGTAAAAATAAAACATTAGTAAAACATTTTAGAAATTGCTTGTTCCTTACTAAAACATTAAAAGCAATAAAATCTCAAACTCTCAGCATAAAACTAATTTGTGTTAATTTCAGAGGATCTATTTTTTTATTCTTTTTTGTAAACTAGCAAAGTAAATGAAGAAAATATTTAGTTATAGTAAGTACCTTTGTCATAAGAAATTGTTGCCGCATGTAAGGCTGTTCGTCCATTTGGAGGATTGTAATCTTGTGAAATATAATCTTTTGAAATGGTAATTTCCAAAATTTTGGACAAGATAGATGGATAACGTTTTTTGGCAGCTAGGTAAAGTGGATTCTCCTTGGCATTGTTGGGCGGATGTAAATACTCAGGGTTTTCTGTCATCAAAATCTTAACAACCTCGAGGTAATTATTTCACACAGCCTTATACAAGGCAGTCTCCCCCTCTACATTACTTATCCTTAGCATTTTCTCGGTCTTTTTAACTCTAGTCCCGCTTTCGAGGTCTTTATCGTCTGATAGTGCTTTTGCAGAATCAATGTGTGCTTGTACTGTGATGGTGTGTCATTCCTTTGCTAAAATGTGAAGTGAAGTCTCACATTTGATATTCACACAACAAAGCAGTGATCCACTGCACTTCTGTTAGATCTCTTTCACACATTGTGTTTAGCCGAATTGAGCTACGACGTGGAGGACTGTGTTTTTGTTGGGGGTCACTTGGACTTCTAGTTGATCAACTTTTTTCATGAGGTCATCAACATTTCCCTTTTTGGCTGCTCTGTATAAGATTGGATCCATAGATATAAGTATCTGGTTTTTGCTTGGCCCTCTCAAGTTTCAGCTTGCCTTAAGAGTCCTGAAGTAGTTTTGTCCATTTATTCACTGGCTTGGGCATCGTTGTTGTTAGTGACAGACCCAGAAAATTTTGTAAGGGGGTCAGCCTTTTAATTTGTGGGGGCAAACTTATATAGCGGGTCCATTTTTGTAATTTCAATGGTTAATTACAACTTTTTTCATTTTACACAAACTGTTGAATAGAAGCATTTTATACAACCACTTGTCATTTTAAAGTAGGTTCACAGGGAATTTTATAACGAATTAATTGAATAGGGGTTAATGATAGAAACTAAGATACTCCTTTTGTTTGAAATACAACTCTTTGTAGCTGGTTATAAATGTGAGATATAATTAAATTTTGTAATTGGCAAATTTCAGTGTCAAAACAAGTCCAATCAAATTGTAATTTTAAATTACCATATCAAGATCGAGATCAGCTGCGGAATTGGAAGGTTGTTCAAAGATGATATACTGAGATCATCGAAAAAGGAAAAGAACAACACTTTAGGAAGGGATTTAAGAAGGTTAGGACACGTTTCATACTTGGTATATATATTTTCAAAACTTACCAAAACAGTGTTTTCCAAGTTTTAGCCTTCAAAATTCAAGACTGGTCATTTTAAACTGGTTCAAGATCTTTGGAACCAGTTCAAGGCATTCAAACTTTGCTTTGAATTTTCACTGACCTTCTTGAACCGATTCAGCCTTCCTTGAATCGGTTCAAGGTCTTTCAGCAGGATTAGGTAACTTTGAATCCTATTCTGATTTTCCTTCCTAGTTGGTTTAGAATACTACCAAAAGGTTCAAGGTCTTTCAACAGGATTAGGTAACTTTGAATTCTATTCTGATTTTCCTTCCTAGTTGGTTTAGAATACTACCAAAAGTCCTATGCACGAAAATTCCATTTTCCTATACATATCTAGGTCTTTGAATATTCTATATAAACTCTGATTTTCATCTAGGTTTGTATAGCTTTTGCAATACAACTTCATAATTCTTAAAAACCTTAGAGAAATATTTTTGCAGAAAATCAAAGTTGGTTTTTCTGTCATTCTTTCTGGAACACACACGTAAGCACAAGAGTGAGTTTTAAGTGTTGTTCAAATCCTAATCTTGATCAAAGTCTTGCATCTACAATAATCAGAAAAACACATTTATTACTTTTTCTACAAATATACATATTGAAGAATAGAGGTGAAGCTTTGAAAGGGTCAAAATATTCGAGGAGTGTTATTTGATCTACCAGTAATCCTTCTACAGAGATCAAGAGTAAGCTTGAGGTCAAGTACTCACAAAGCCAGAGGATTGTGAGCGATTGGTGTTTGGTAGAACGACAGGGTGTGAGCCTGAGTCAAAGTCCATTGTACTTTGTTTTAAACATAGTGAATCGGTTTACTTTGGACTACACAGTCCACAAGGGTTTTCCCGCGCAAACAGTTTGTCTATTTTACCAATTGGGATTTCCTCGCTAAAAATTCTATTGTCTTCTCTAATTCTATTAATTTTCTTTATTTTATTTTGAATGAGATTGATTGATTAGTTGCTAAAATAAATAAAATTAGAAATATACCGATCTGTTTCTAAAAATACAAAACTTTCTAAATCTTCCGTTGCATAAATTAACAATAAATTCACAGAAGAGACTGGTTCTTCAAGTGTAACCCGGGCACTAATGCATAGATTGGGCCAGAAACATGCAGCCGGCTCAGTGGTGCCACTGTCTTGCTTTTTGAATATAAAAAAGCAACTAGCTGGCCAGAAACAGCCGGGCACTACTAGTACTGCATAGAACCTGCCACAATACAGCCGGTTCAGTCGTGCACTTGCTACTTTTTTAACTAGCAAAACTCAATTAGCTGAAGCCTGAAGGTTTCAATCTGGGACAATGTGCACCTGCCCACTCGTCCAAACCTCACACAATTATAATAGTATTCGCTAAAAATTCATTTTCTTTGAATTATAATAAAAATTTGCATATGGGTGCATTTTAGTCTCTGCGTGCGATGTCGAAAATATTCACAACTGCTAACCACGCTCTCGGGTATATTACTAACAGTAGTTGACCCAAAATGAACATAATATAATACGTTAGTATCTCTGGGTGAGGTGGTCTGCTAGCCAAGTTGGTAGATACAATACATATATAAATATAGTAATAACATGTCGTATTGAAAATTTGAAAGCAAGACTTTTAAAGGATCACAAGTTTTCTTGCAAAAGAATTACCATTAATAACTACTCCGTATAAATTAGTTTCTAGTCCACAAAAATATTTGTTAAGGGCTAGTCAATATATAAAAATGTCAGCCATAAAAGTTTTTTCAAAAACACTGCAACGACTTAGAGGGGACGCTGTTGTTGTTGCAACTTATTTTATCATAATTAAGTGATTGCAGTTTTAAGGAAAAAAATAAAATTAAGTAATTGCATTTTGCTATTAAATAATTTAGCATATAATATATGTTCTCGTGATTAAGTAATTGCATTTTGCTATTAACAAGGCGCTCCATTGACAGAAATAAAAAAAGATGTGAATGATTGCTTGAAAACATCAGGATCATTAGATATAGTTCTATCATGCAAGCTGACCCCAGTGATTCTTTTCCTGTTTAGTCTATTATGTATGCTTTTGTGGAGGAAACTAGAGTTTTGATCACTAAGGGCAACCCAATTAATTCTTGACTTCTATCTGTTGAAGATGATGTTCCTCAATCTTACTTTGGCTTCAGTAAGTGACGATGAGTGCCTTCTCTTGCCGTCTCAGTGCAACATTGATTGGATCACTGTCAAGTTGGTTATGGCAAGATATATACAAGGTTTGTCTTGGATTATAGAACTCTATTTGTGATGTCACTGAATGTGATTCAAGGTTTTCAAGGCAGTCTTTAGAAGTCCCAATTTGGTACTTACTCTTAGCATAGGAATGCTACTCACATTAGAGTTCCAAAGTCTAGCTACCGCGTCCATGTAGAGGGAAAGAGAACCAAAAACGACAACATACTAATGTAAGTAAAAGTAGATTGTTAAGAAACAGAGTTAATAACATAATAGAGAATGTCCGTGAGAAAAATAATTTTTTTTAAAAATGTTAAGCGAACTCTCACAGTACTCGTAACTCCACCGAGGCTGAAATCCCTGACCTATCCCTTTGGAAGATAGATTTGTATCATCTGGACTATTAACCTTTTGGTAAGGCATGCTTAGATTAATCAGGGACATCAGATACCTGAGTTTCTCGATCTCCTGGATAATGAATAATGGAAAATTGAATAGCTCTTTCTTATTTGGGTTCTTCTGCCTTGGATTAAGGACTTTTTAACATTGAATTAAGAAATTTTGTAGCAAAAACAGAAATGATAGATTTTGCAAACCAGATAATTCACTAATGGATAACCGGATACAAGATGGGGAGTCGAGAGATCAATCCAACAAACTACAGCTACACTAACTGCTGGAAATAAATATGAAACTAGAAAGCAAGTAGAGTACATGAAATAAAATAAAGCTGCATTGTTGAGATGTGCGGAGAGACTTCTTCATTCTTTAGTTCCTTCATACGTACTAGTCCTCCAACATACACTGACGTACTTCTCTCGCAACTGATCATGCCTCGACAAATTTTCATTTGTTTCATGTTTTTCCTTCACTAAAATTTCTTAAATCTATATTTTAATATCAGAATACAAATCAATCCATAGATGACAATGCCGATAATCGTATTTGTAAAGAAAAATTTGCGACTTACTCGCTGACTGGACCACTCATCAAAGAACCTCTTTACGTCATTTTTAAAGTCAACAGCTACGGCAAGGTATGCGTCCATGAACCAACTTAAAGCATTCAGAAGAAAGAGGGTAAAGCCAGTCATAAAAGCCAGTCATAAATACAACCACCATTGCTCCAATAGCGCATACAATGGTTGCAAGAGCGTTGTGATAGCCATTAGCACGCTTATCTTCATCTTCATAAGTGGATGCAGATATGTGGGTAAATACAGCTTTAATGGAAAAAATCATAGCAATAGCATCCGCCACAACAAATACGTTGAAAGCTGTTTGTCTTATTAAAACTGCCATACCTTGATTTGGCCCATCGTTACCGTCATAGCCACCTGGTATGGTGAAACCAGCTGCAAAGGTTACGGTTGCTACAAGTGTAGCTACGATCAAATTGTTGTCCGAAATTTTAGTGGCCAAGTTGTTTAATCGCTCAGAGTCGTTTCCTTCGTTTAATTTGAATTTGTTTCGGTAACGCACTGGTACCTGCGTTTTTCTTCTTTGATCAACTTGAAAACAACAGTTCTGATTCTATTGCCAAATTTTGCTAGTCATGAAAATTTGAGCAAGTACTATAACTTAATACAAGATAGTTTTACCTGTAAATTCACACGTTATCAAGATTAATGCAATGTCACAACACTTGGGATCAATTTAACAACTATGACATGAACTTGTGTTACTGTGTACAACCAAATTTACTGTACTGGTGCTCTTATACCCACAATCATTGTATAAACAATTTTTTTATTATAAAGTTATCGTGTAAACTTTTCATCTACACGTCATATCAACACATGAATGGGATGCTAGCATTGAATGGAAACTACTAGAATGGTACTAAATCATCCTACTTTACAGAGTAGACTTCCCTAGGTGATATATTTCAGTTATATCTATTTCCCAAAATGTGAAGCACACACTAATATAATACGAAACTTCTTTTGTGAGACCCAAAATAGTAATAATGTCTCATTTCAATTCACAAGGTAAAACTGATTAAATAAGGTCATGTGATCAAATTAATTTAATTTAATTTTTATTTTTTGATAAGTGATCTCTTTCATGAGTAGAAAACCCATGAGCTCTCATATTTTTAAAATTTAGATGCATTAAATAATTAATTTTAGTTTTCACACATCTCCAAAAATTGTTTCATTTGATGATTAAAACAGAAGAGCTCGTGGGTCTTTTCATGAGAGAGACCTCTTAGGAGAATTACTCCCATTAAAATATTACATGTTAGAGACTGTACAGTCCTGAGAGGATTTTTAATCATTTTTAGAAAATATAATTCTTAATATCTAAGCAATTAGACAAGGCAGCATATGTAGCATTAATTCATAATATAGACAAGGTACCACCATTATTACCTCGTGTGCATACATGTCACGGTTGTCACCATATACTGCTTCGAGTGCACTCAAAGTGTTCTTTTGGAAGGCCATGCTAGCCGCTCTAGGATCATCTTTGAGACGGTACTTGTGGTAATTGGATTTAGCACAAAGCAAATGAAGAGGTGTGTTTCCATCTCTCTCTTTCTGATTTCTGAGGCTGTTCGAAAAGGAATTTTCTAGGATAAATTCGATTATTTCATATTTGTCATGCTCCACTGCTATGTGGAGGATATTCTGGCCTTTAGTGTTGGTCATTTCCCAGCAGTCTGGACAGTATGAAAAAAGCTCTTTCATGATGTCTAGATGACCTTGACTAGCTGCCAAGTGAAGAGCCGTTTTATTGTCATCTGTTTTTGCAGCAAGGTATGCCACAGATTTATCGAGATCAAGTAGCTGTTTGACTGCTGAAACATCACCAAACCATGCAGCATAGTGAAGTGGTCTCCATCCAAATTTGTCTCCTTGTTTGATTAGTGATGACTTCCAGTCGCGTAATTTTTTTATACATTTTGAAAGAGAACATTATATTAACAACTCATAAGTAAAAATAAAACATTACCATGTAAGAGTAAAAGTAAAGCAATTTAGAAATTGCTTGTTCCTTACTAAAACATAATATATTTAATTCCGATTTTTCTAAATTAATTTTATTTATTATTTTTTTATGCTGTCATGACAAGATGTGATTGCCCACTTCAAAAAAATAAAAATTCGGACTCTTGCCGGGACATATAAATCCCAACAAAAGCATGCTTAGATTAAGGACATCATATACCCGAGTTTCTCGATCTCCTGGATAATGAATAATGGAATATTGAATAGCTCTCTCTTATTCAGGTTCTTCTGCCTTGGAATAAGGACTTTTTAACACTGAAGAAATTTTGTAGCAAAAACAGAAATGATAGATTTTGCAAACCAGATAATTCACTAATGGATAACTGGATACAAGATGGGGAACAGAGAGATCGATCCAACAAACTACAGCTACACTAACTGCTGAAAATAAATATGAAACTAGAAAGCAAGTAAAGTACATGAAAAAAATAAAGCTGTAATGTTGAGATGTGCGGAGAGACTTCTTCATTCTTTATACCAGTCCTCCAGCATACAGTTCTCTCCCAACTGATCATGTCTTGAGAAATTTTCACTTGTTTCATGTTTTTCTTTCACTAAAATTTCTTAAATCTATATTTTAATATCAGAATACAAATCGATCCATAGAAGCCGAAGACGAGAATCGCTTTTGTAATGACGACTATGCGATTTCCCCCGACTACAGGGCTTGCCAAATCAACGAAGAACGTCATTACCTCATTTTTAAGGTCAACAGCTACTGCAAGGTATGCCTCCATGAACAAACCTATTGCATTTAGAAGAAAGAGGGAACAGATGACGATTACACTGATAGCGAGGACTGGTGAATGTGCCAACACAACATAAAAGCCAGTCATAAATGCAACCACCATTGCTCCAATGGCGCATATAATGGTTGCAAGAGCATTGCGATAGCCGTTAGCGCGCTTATCTTCATCTTCATAAGTGGATGCAGATATGTGGGTAAATAGAGCGCTAATGGAGAAGATCATAGCACTAGCATCCGTCACAACAAATACTTTGAAAGCTGCTCGTCTTATTAAAACTGCCATACCTTGATTTGGCCCATCGTTACCATCATAGCCACCTGGTATGGTGAAACCAGCTGCAAATGTCACGGTTGCTACAAGTGTAGCAATTATCAAATTGTAGTCCGAAATTTTAGCAGTCAACTTGTTTAATCGAGCAGATTCGTTTCCTTTGAATTTGTTTCGGTAACCCACCTCTGGTACCTGCATTTTTCTTCTTTGATCAACTTGAAAAGAGCAGTACTGATTCTATTGCCAAAATTTGCTAGTCATCAATGTCATGAAAATTTAAGTATAACTTAATACAAGACACTTTTACCTGTAAATTCACACCTTATCAAGATTAATGTAATGTCACAACACTTGGGATCGATCTAACAAGTATAACATGAACTTTTGTGCGAGTGTCCTCTTGTGAATCTATACAGACCAAATTTATTGTACTGACACTCTGATGCAACGTATCAGAGTATATAAAATAATCATTTTTAGAAAATATAATTCCTAATATATAAGCAATTAGACAAGGCAGCATATTTAGCATTTATTCATGTAATGAAATTTTTTCATATTATAAACAAGGTACCACCATTCTTACCTGTGAGGGCAGATCAGGTGTGTTTCGATTTCTGTCTTTCTGATTTCTGAGGCTGTTGGAAAAGGAATTTTCAAAGATAAATTTGATTATTTCATTTTTCTCATGCTCCACTGCTATGTGAAGGATATTCTGGCCTTTTCTGTTGGTCATCTCCCAGCAATCTGGACAGTACGAAAGAAGTGTTTTCATGATATCTAGATGACCTTGACTAGCTGCTAAGTGAAGAGCCGTTATATTGTCATCTGCTTGTGCAGCAAGGTATGCCACAGATTTATCCAGATCAAGTAGCTGTTTAACTGCTGATACATTACCAAACCATGCAGCATAGTGAAGCGGTCTCCATCCATATACATCTCCTTGCTTGATTAGTGATGACTTCCAATCGTGTAATTTTTTTATACATTCTGAAAGAGAACATTATATTAGCAACTCATACTAACTAGCAAGTAAAAATAAAACATTACTATATAAGAGTAAAAGTAAAACATATTAGAAATTGCTTGTTCTTTACTAAAACATAATATATATATATATATATATATAATTCCGATTTTTCTAAATTAATTTTATTTATTATTTTTTTATGCTGTCATGACAAGATGTGATTCCCTACTTCAAAATAAAAACTCGGACTCTTGTCACAAAACTAATTTTTGTTAATTTCACACATTTGAGGATCGATGAATTATTATTATTTTTCCCTCTTCTACAAACTAGCTAGCAAAACAGATGAAGAAAATATTTAGTTTTAGTAGCTACCTGGGTGATAAGAAATTGTTGCCGCGTGTAAAGCTGTTCGTCCATCTGGACCCATGTAAGCTTGTGATGAAATGTAAATGAAATTTTCCAAAATTTTGGACGGAACACCATTTAGACCAATGTATCCTTTTGAAATGATATTTTCCAAAATATTGAACTCAATACCATTTTGACCAATGTAAGCTTGTGAAATAATCATATTATCCAAAATTTTGGACAGAATAGAAAGATGACATCCTTGGGCAGCCAGGTAAAGGGGAGTCTCCTTGGCTTTGTTGGGTGGATGTAAAAACTTGGGGTCTTCTGCAATCAAAATTGTAACGACGTCAAGATGATTATTTCGAACAGCCTCGTACAAGGCCGTCTCATCCTCCACATTCCTCATCCTGAGCATATCCTTAGTAGCTCTAGTACTCCAGCTTCTGGGGTCCCCTTCGAATGATTTCGCATAATCAATGAGTGCTTGTACTGTGGCGGTGTGTCCTTCCCTTGCGGAAATGTGAAGACAAGTCTCACCTCTGACATTCAAAGAACAAAGCAGTGATTGACCGCAGTTGTGTAAGATCTCTTTCACACATTGTGTTTGGCCGAATTGAGCTGCGATGTGGAGAACCGTGTTTTTGTTGGGGGTCACTTGGACTTCAAGTTGATCAACTCTTTGTATGAGGATATCAGCATTTCCCTCTTTGGCTGCGTTGTATAAGACTGGATCCATAGCTATATGCGACTGGTTTCTGCTTGGCCTCTCAGTTTTCAGCCTGCTCTAGCTTCCTCAACCCAATTATTCACTTTCCCAGTTCACTTTGGGCGTCGTTGTTGTTGCAACTTGTTGAATTTTAAATAAATTAGAGTACACAACTTGTTTGTTTTTTTTTTTTTTGGGTCCCCCATACACAACTTGTTGAATAGAAGCATTTTATACAACCAACTTCTTGTATTTCTACAATATCAAATGAAAAAGGGACAGTACGTTGAAGTATAGGTAGGGCCACAAGGAATTAGTTGAATATATAGATTTCTAAGCAATAGGGGCTAAAGGATGACCAAGAAATAAAGTATACATCATAAAATTGTGCCAATATTGTGCCCGTTATATGTTAATTAATCTCAAGCTTCTGCTAAAGCGTAAAGATACAATGCTTTTCTTACTTCAAAATATCATATTATGATGAATTTTCTATTAAATTTTGTTTAAAATATAAAGCGTATTTCCCATGAAAATCTATGGTTGTAATAGTATAGGTGGATTATTTTGCTGTAAATAGTTTAATATTTTTGACAAATAATATTGTTTCAAATAACATTTTTTTTTTTTTTACTAAATACAAATTATATTTTCACCAAGGATCAAATGGAAAAATTATTTTTCACGTGAACAAATAAATTACCTTTTGGTTGAAAGATGGATTTTTTTTTTATTTTTTTTATTTTTTTTACCATACAAATTAATGTTATTATTATTTATTTTATTCTTCTTGGCTAAATATGTAAAGTCAGTTATTTTTCCTCTCCTTATCTGTCATAAAGGTCGTACGTACTTACCGGTACATGAACCCCAATAGAAAGACCCAAATTTGCTATTAACCACTTTAATCTTAATTTGAGAGTTAAGATGAGTTGAATATGGTTACCTATATTCAACTCATATTTCACCCAATACATAATAGACCCACAATACGCATATATTCTATATTGCACTCAACTCATTTTTCTCTCTAAAATTCACTCATTCACGATTAGGGCTGCAAGTTAGGTTGACCTAATCTAGCCCAGTCCCAACCTAACCTCAACCCGAAATCGGGTTGGGTTGGGCTAGCCCGAATATTTTGGGCTGGTTTCATAAGTCAATTTTTTTTTTTTTTTTTTCATGCATATTTGTAAATATCAAAATTTTTAAGAAAATTTTATTTTTAAAAAAATCAATATTTTGAGCGGGTCAGTCGGGTTTCATGGGTCATTTTTTATTTTTTATTTACAAATATACAAATTATATTTTCCTTTTCCAAGTTTGTTAATATCAAAATTTTTAAGAAAATTTATATTTTTTAAACATCAATATTTTGGACAGGCAGGTCGGTCGGGTTTTACGGGTCAATTTTTTTTTTTTCAAATATGCAAATTACATTTTCATTTTCCATGTTTGTAAATATCAAAATTTTAAGAAAAATTTATTTTTAAAACATCAATATTTTGGGCGGGTCGGTTAGGTTTTACGGGTCAATTATTTTATTTTATTTTTTATAAATATACAAATTACATTTTCCTTTTCTAAGTTTGTAAACATGAAAGTTTTTAAGAAAATTTTATTTTTAAAACGTCAAAATTGTGAGCGAGTCGGTTGGGTTTCACGGGTCATTTTTTTTTTTTTTTTTTCCCAAATATGTAAATTACATTTTCCTTTTCCATGTTTGTAAACAAAAATGTTTTAAAGAAAATTTTATTTTTAAAACAGCAATATTTTGAGCAGGTCGGACGGGTTTCACAGGTCTTTTTTTTTTTTTTTTTTTTTTTTAAATATGCAAATTTCATTTTCTTTTTCTATGTTTGTAAATATCAAAATTTTCAAGAAAATTCTATTTTTAAAACATCAATATTTCTTCTCTTTCCTTCACTTCTCTCTCTAAAATGAGTTGATAAATATTGCTGAATTTGAAATTATTATTTTTATTTGTTATTAAATAAAATTTTAAAATCTCTCAAAAAAAAAAATAATAATAATTAATGAGTCAACGGGTCATAACGGGTTGACCTTATATATTTTTGCCCTATCTATTTTTAACTCGTTTTGAACAGGTTAAATATAAATCTTAACCCATATTTGATCTGTTTAGTTTTAACTCAGTACAAACCCGACCCGCCCATTTTGCCATTAGTATACATAGAGAGCACAGTGACATGTATAATGTGAACGGAATATGAATCTCGTTATATGTAATGTGAAAAGGTCGACACTCTCCCACATACACAACAAACATTTGGCATCCGATGTGTGTGTATATATATATATATATATATATATGGAACACATGAACAGATCAGTGAAAATGAGGATTAAGGCCTCGTTAAAATAAAAAATGTCGGTCATGAAAATGGTTTAAAAAAATGACTTAGTTGTTTAAGGCCTCGTTAAAATAAAAAATGTCGGTCATGAAAATAGTTCAAAAAAAGACTTGTTTAAATTGCATCAGTGAGTCTTCAAATAAAGTAGAATAATCAATCTTAGCTATTGGGAATCCAAAGATTCTCTCTCCGATAAGAGTGATGTAGGACATATTTTAGTATTTTTTTTTATTAGGCCTATTTTTATTTTATGTTTTTAAAAAGTTTTTGTTTTAAGTAATTTCTTTTATATTTTTTAATTTCTTCTTATTTAGATTATCTTATGTTTTTATTTTTCTTTGAGAATTAATTTCCTCTATAGTTTTAAGATTTTATTTATTATAAAAACATGTAATGCGATAGTAGAAAATTCAATCAATCAATTTCATCAATAATATTTTAATTGCTTTGCAATTTTTATTCAATTTTGTGAATTCAAAGTTATCACCTTGTGGATTCAAGATACACCGGTTCTATGTGAACAAATCTATCGCTTCCGTTTACGTTAGTTGGTAGTAGGTGATCGTTTTTGTGGCAACCTCACTGACGACGTAGATCAACAAAGAGTGGCTCCTTTTAGGACCAAATTTCAAGGCTATCAATATAAAACCTGGCAAACATTGCAATATATTCAAACAATGATTGCTAAGTTTGAGTTGAAGCAAAATCGCGAGAGCATAATAGGGTGCATAACGTTGACGAAGATCGCGTTTGTCCTGTTCAGAATCACAACCACATAGGCAGCTAGCCTATGAGGATGAATTCAGTGATGATGATGATGAAGGTTACACTGAAGACATGTTTGGGGGTCTTAAAGACACACGAATATATTCTTATTTCATGTTGAAATTTTTTTGTATTGGTTAGAAGATTTTGAGAGATTCTTTGATTACATGAAAATTAAAGAGGAGAATAAGGTGGCATTGGTCACATATAAATTGGAAGGAATAGCTTTTAATTGATGGAAATAGTTACAAATTTTTCATGCAAAAGCACCGGTAGAATCTTGGTTGGAGATGAAATAACTTTTGAAAGCCAAATTTCTTTTACCTTACAAAGAGCAAATTACATCCAAAGTCTAAGAGGATGATGATCTAGTCTCTGGTCCACTGCCACAACATGTCACGTCAATGATGATGTTGTGCAATATGTAGCAATAGTGATAGAGGCGCAAATCCTCTGATGTAATTATTCCTGCAGTCCTTTGATGTCCACTGTCTTGTGGCCTTGGTTTGGCCACGTATTTATTCATAAAACAGACACTAAGTCTACGTTTGGAAATTACACCACCATTTATAAGTAACATTTCATCACCATTTATAAATAACATCATATGAGTCTAAAAAGTAACATCACCATTTATAAAAGAGAACATCACCACTTAGGTAATATATAAGTGTGTGTGTATATATATATATATACACACACATATACAAGAACACTTTGAGACTAAGGTACTAAATATATATTTGTATATATATAACATCACCATGTTGAATTGAGTTAGATTTATGTGTGAATATTAGTTTTTCAGTACTATGTAAATACCTTTTTTTTTATTTTTTTTATAGTGAAGGTAGTGAGTGGCAATTAATATTAAACTTTACCAAATTTTTTCTTTTGATGGTGAAGGTGGTGAGTGTGGCAATTAATATTATACTTTGCCAAATTTTTTTCAAGATATGTTAAATAATTTATACCTAAGTGTATGTTTTTTTTTTTTTTTTTTTTTTTTTTTTTTAATATTTGGAAGGAAAAAAAAAAACAGACGTGGCTCTTTTCATTATTTTTGGAAACATCAAGTGTTTTGTTTGTTGTTTAAAGTCAATCCAAGTGACTTTAATTTTGGTTTAAATTCTTTAAATTAACATAAATGATATGTTAAATTCTGTTACATTTATACGTGACAGTACTTAGTCAGCATTATGTGCACACCTTATTTTGAGAGTGAAGATGGTTTATTTTGTTAATTTAGCTATCAACAACCTTTATTATTTAAGTGGTGATGTTGCCTTTTTACAATGGTGATATTACTTTTTAAAATCCTATGATGTTACTTATAAATGGTGGTAAAATATTATTTATAAATGGTGGTGTAATTGGCCAAACACGGCCTGTGGTACCCCTCGGATCCGAGACACGGGTTTGATTAGGCTTAGGTCCGAACTGGAGGGAATATCAAATAATTAAAGTATTTTAAAATAAACACAGAATATAAAAAGAATTCAGAATTAAATAATAAAGCTGAAAGAATTTATTAAATAGAAAATCCTCCAAAGTTAAAGATTAATAAAAACTAACTCTCCAAAACTTCCAAGAGTACAACTCGGGAATCCATCTAATGGACACCTAAAAGAAATCCCAACTGAAAAATAACAACTGAAAATAAAGCCAAAGTTAAAGCATGTAATGAAATCCTACGTTGTCGGTAGAGTGAATGACTGTCTCTGCGCAACCCGAGTAAGCTCTAAGACTGGAACCGTCCGATACTTGAAAAATATAAGAGTGGATCAGGCCCACGAACAAGTTCTAATCTAACTGCAATCCATACAGTAACCCGATACGCAGATACATCCTAGATATCCCACAATATCTATCTAGTCCATAAGTATATATATATATATATATATATATATATATATATATATATATATCCACACTAAGGGACATTCACTGGACTACAAAGGGGGTCTCAACCTGAATAGAAGGCAACATGCAAAAACGCACCCAAAGGTGGGCATGAATACCTAGACCTAACAGGGTATACCTCAACTTCTCATAGCCA